CTAAAAATAAGAAAAAGAGACGTTATAATAGAAACTCCACGTTAGTTGCAATTTCAGAAGAAATAGATAATTTGTGCGACAATCAAAATGCACTACCAGATGAATCCGCTATTATTCAATCTACAGAATATACAGGTAATAATAATAATGTATTGGAAATAATTATATGACTCTTATTAACAAATTTTATTATAGATGAGCTACCACGAGTTAATATGTTCAACTATGTTCCTGCTGAATCAGCATTTAACGTTGAACAGGAAGACTTTAACATTTCATCAGATTTGAATTCATGACAATCGATGAAGAATTTTTAAAGTTTTTTAATACTCATAATCTTGATGATATTGATGGCGATATGAATTTTGAAACAGATTACGCAATCTAATTTATCTTTGATATTTTAATATTTTAATCAAGATACTAAAATTAAATATTACTAATAATGTAATAAGGGGTAAATTTTCAACGGACATAAATAAAAAAATACTATTAGTGGAAAATAAATTAAAAAGTTGAAGTATGCGCTATTAATTAGTGATTCATAATGTATTGTTTGATTATTTGGAAATAACTTGCAAAAGAGTATTGTTTACAATTTAGAAAAAATATTCTTAACCAAAACTCGTGACACCTTCGCACTGATTTGTTGCTAATTGTTGTCACGTGATTTCTTTGGTTCAGAAAACAATATGCTTGTAAGTTGATAAATTGTAACATAATTTAACGTTGCCTTTTTTTGATATATATATATTTTTTTTTTGAAAAATAATATGGTAACATTAAATGTTGCCACCCATCTAATGGCTGGCTTTGTACAAACATCAACAACATTACCACTTTCTTTTGAAAAACCATTATTATTTCCAGAACTATTTCCTGATGGAAATGTTCATTTTTCTGATCAAAATGCAATCACTTCTAAAAATGATTCAATAAAAACAGAAACAGCAGCAGAGGAAATACATATAAAAAGTTTGATCAATAATTATGGCATTTTCTTAAAAGATCAAAAAAAACATTTAAATTTACAAAATGAACACAATACAATCGTAACAATGTTGAACAACATTTTTAACGAGTATCCACATGAAAAAACAATCATATGTATACAAGAATTATGTTTACCGTCAAAGCGATCTAGGGCAAAAGGAATTCCAAGGCCACAAAATCTATTCTTGCTGTTTCGCAGAAATGTGTCAAGAGGGTTATACAATGCTAACATAGCATGTTCCGTTTCTGCGTCCTCTAGAATTGCATCATCTATGTGGAAATCATTAACATCTACTGAACAAATGTTTTGGCAGAAAATTTTCGAGATAGCTAAAAGAAAACATATAAATGATTATCCAAAATACAAGTATACCCCCCAAAAAAACCTAAAATTAAAAAAAAAAAAATTCAAATAACGTTGACCGAATTTCTTCAGTATCTCAAAAGCTCAAACCGAAAGTACTCAACCATCCGTATTTGAAACTAAGATGAATTGTTTAAAAGGTAAATATCATTTCACAAATTTGTTCTTTTAATCGTGTTTACTTATTTATAAATTAATTATATAGTTGAAATACCAACATCAACAACAAAACAACTTTAAAGAAAACATGTCTATTGAATTAAATTTAAATTTAAATTTTAACTTTTTTTTATGAATATAACACTATGACACCATATCAAAATAATGATGAATTTTTTGAAACATTTATTAATTTTATTTAATAAAAGAAAGTTTAATTAATTTAAAATAACAAGCTACAACATTAAACTTATAATTAATTCTTCATATTGATAATTTAAATGATTATAAATGCAAATCAACATACGGTTTTTTTTTAAAGCATTTATTATTATTTATGAATGATTCAACATCCATGTTGAATAAATTTGTTTCAAAAGTAATATATCATTACATGAATATCAATAAATTCGAAATCAAAAGAGGAATACTTAATTTTCTAATAATTTTTTAATAAATTTAAAAGAGCAGTATCCTTGCAGTTGCATTCTTAATCCTCTTAAATGTTTGCAAGCAATAAGAAGTTGCATGTAGTCATTAAAAAGCGAAATATTACTGGAATTAAAATACCAAATTGTTAAATATTCAATGTTGTAACAATTATTAATTATTATTTGTAAATAATCACGTAAATATTGAATATTCTTTTCATTAAAATACAGTATGTTCCAATAAATCCGTTTAAGTTTTATTGAACAATTCGAACGAGATTTTTAATCATGTTACTTGCTTCATTAACACGCGTAAATGAATTGATTTCAATTTCTTCTAATAACTCGAATTTTAATTTAGATAGCATTTTGAAAACGTCTAATGAAGCTCCAACTGTCGAAAATTTTACGCGCAACTATTTTAATGAGTTTCTACTTAAAAATTGCATGCACTTTTCATTGACACAAACCATCGATTTTGAAATTGAACCATGAGGGAATCACTTAGCAATTTATATTTATTGATGTAACAATTATATAAATACCCTGATCGCTTTAATTCGAGGTATCTCAACATTCGTTGTTTTGAAACAAGTATCGATAAACCTTTATTAACATTGTCATACGAATTAATTATTAAATGTTCTATATTTTTGCAATAATTTGATAAGGTAGCAAAATTTGATGAATCAAGATAAGCATAACAATCCAAAACTCTAAATGAATTAATTAATGTTGTCGGAAAAATTATTTTTTTTCTTTTTGATAACGTAAAGATGCATGCTCACAAAATTAATTTGATATCGATATTTCAAGTAATTGTATTTTTTTGCTATTTAAAAAAAAACATTATATAAAATTCATACTGAAATGAAATTTTATTGAAATTTTCGCTTTCCTTTCGTTGGTAATTAATCATTAATTCGTCAGACATGTTCAATAGATGATTTAGTGACATGCCTACAATATAATGAGTAATTATATATAGGGCAAGGGTTAATAATATTTTAAAAACTTCCGATGGTAAGGAAGTAACTATAGTTTTAGTAATGTTTGGCCAAAACTTTTCATTTTGACCTTTGTTGAATTTCCATGGATTATTGTAAAGGACTGGTATAGTCAAATCTGCAAAAGTTTTAGAAACTTGAAGACATGAATGTAAAGTTGAAAGGTAAGAGCAAGAAATTATTAATTGAAGTTTAATAACGGTTTGGATTGTGAATGCATTATTCATGTCATGTAGTTTATTGAAACGAATAATTATTTTATTTATAATAAATAACAAACAATGCAATTGTAATTATTCACGATACGTTACGTAAATTTTAATTTAAAAAAATTATGGATCATCGCAAATTTATTATCAGTTTGCCAATTGTATTTATCAATTATTATAATTTCGAATTTATAGCATATCATGATATGAGAATCCGTGTTACACGGAACCTGATAGTCGAATTTGTATTCTAAAAGTATTCTTAAAAACGTAAAGAAGAGCTGTAAAAAATTTGGAATAGTCGTAATAATATCAAAAAAATTTTGCTTGGAATTTTTCTATGCATTCGAATGCTTGATCGCTTATTTTTCCAATATTGTAATAAGTGTATGAACTATAATCTTTGCCATATCGTCGTCATTTCTTACATCTAAAAGTAATATTTTTTCGTAATTTCCGATTGATTCGTTTTAAATATATTGCGTATAACTCGTTCTTTAATTTAAAATTTTCGAAACATTTAATTATTTTTGTCTTAATCTTTTTCAAGACCTTAATCTTTTTGTATTTTATATCATATCGATCAATTTTGCACGTGGTACGGATAGTTATTTGGAAAATTTTCTAATACATAATTCATAATTATGCTATTTTTATATTCGTAATCTATTTTTATCGTCCTCAATTATTTCATTCTCTGGATTATTGTATCCAAACACTCCCTGGAACAATAAACCAATTTTATAATTGATTTGGTTTCCACTTAATAAAGCTTTTGTATTATTATGAAGGGAATTAAAGTTCTTGCAAGTTATCGTTATTTATACATTTTAAGTGCATTATAATAAATATTACTAACGCATTATAATAATTAATTATTATGTATTGTATTAACATTATTATATAGTAGTGTGCAATTTTTTAATTTACTATCATAATTTAAAATGGCAATTAGTTTACCAATGGAAGTAATGGAAATAATTTTTAACTTACAAAATATTCATACATTACATAATCTCATCTTAGTTAATCGTCAATGGAGTTCTATAGCTATTCAGTCGTTGTGGAATGATTCATTTAGTAAAATTTTAAGTAATTATGAAGGAGATAAATTACTAATTAAAACTTTGTTAGTTTGCGTTAGCGAAAATTAAAAGTACAATTTAAGTAAATTAGGTATTAAGATTAAAACGGAAAAGCCTTTATTTCAATATTCATACTTTATTAAAATTATAGATTACGAGAGCTTATATATTAAAATTTCAAAGTTTCTCGAAATAGAAAGAGATATAACAAAAAACATATTAATTTATCGAGAAACATCAAATTAATTACTGAAAACTCGACAATACAAGTAAACTTAAAATTTGAAGATCAAGAATCTTGCGTTCATGTTTGCAAAGGCAAATTATTTCTTGATCCAATAAAAGTATGTACTTGTATTATGGACGATCATCTGCCAAATTTCTCAAAATTGCAAAGAAATTGATCAACTTAGAATATTAATTCGTTCAAATAAAGACAATTACGGTTTAAGAGCTTTGATATCGACATGTAAAATAAATTCAATTAGATTAAAATATACAACTTTTGATGAAATTCATCAAAATATATTTGCATCAATTAAGGGTATATTATGCAATGTATACAAATTAGAAATCGAATTTTCTCAAAATTTTTCTGCAACCTTTTTTGCTGATTGTAGTAATTTAAAAGAACTAATAATAGTGTTAAAATTGGAATATAAAGAATATTTAAAGTTTATAACAAATTCGTGCATTTTGAAGAATTTGCATGTTTTTTGAAATTGTAACAAAAAATTTAAACTTTGATTTTAATGATGATAGTGATACTAAAAACGAAAAAATCAATTTATTCGGTAATATGATCATTTGATAATAATGAATTGATTAAAGTAAATATGAAATGGGATAAAGTTAATTATTCATCTTTTATGCTGAAAAAAAATTCGATAGAACTAAACATATTCTCATTTAATATCCGTTTGCAAGTAGTTCTAATTCTACAGATAATTTTGAACATTTCGAAAAAGGAGTAAAATTAATTATTAATACATCATTGGAGCTTAATGAATCAAACTTTATAATCATTTTGCTTGAAACAATTAAAAAATTAGAAAACCTTTTTATTATGTATAAAATATGTTATTAATAATAATTTATTAATAATACTAAAATTCAATACAAGAATAAAGTTAACGTTAACTCTTTCGCGATCAATTTGTCGTGATTTATTTTTAGTCAACATAAGTTTTTTTTAATCTGTGATTAATTATTGTATTGTTCGTTTGTATATAAACTTGCGACTTAATGGTGAAGCATTCATTAATTTGTAGAGGTTTTAAGAAATTGCAAAACTCCATTGTATTGATGAAATTAATTTCAGATATAATAACCGGTTCAAATATAATACCACAATTACTTTGAATAATCATATCTAACTTTCTTTATAGAGAATTATTTATATTTATAAGATTAATAACTTGATTTTGCATATGGTATAGAGATATTGCATAATATGATTCGATTTCAGAAATTTTTTGTTGATAGAAAAGTGGTATTTGTTGTTGATTCATATTTACATAAATCAAAATTATAATATTTTAGGTTTTATTTCATTTTGACTTTCATACTTATTTATAAATAAAATAAACAATACATCTAAATCAAGTATTATTTTTAATTGTTGTACAAATAATAAATTAAAAATAAAATTCGAAAAGTATTAATTATCCATGTAACATTTTATTAAATAATTATGTGTATGCATTATTCTAAGCATTGTTTAAATTTATTAAATATGAAGAAAAAGAAAATAATTGAATAAAATCGCATTAGGAAAACATGTACAGTACTCATCCGATTTTACATCGATTATTAATATATTTTCATATTTACCAAAATTTATCGTCTAGAATTATATATTAAATTAAAGGACAACTTAATTCCTTTAATCGAAGAAATTAAAATTAATAAACAAATAATCAACGATGGTACATATAATAGTTGCGATTTACTTTCAAAAATGTGGACAAACTGTGCGGTTATCAATGCAAGAAAAAGTAAATTTTTAGATCATCCATTCTTTTGCACAGAATTTGATAAGGAAAGCGCAAATGATTTTGAAAATTTCCATAATGAATATACATTGCTGTTAGTTGAAACAAAAAAATATCTATCAAATTATACTAACATGACCGACGAGTTTGGATTCGACAATATTCGGTTACCTAAATGGACGTGCATGGATTCCGAATTACGAACGGAACATTTCTATAATATAGGTTTTGATAATTTGTTAGAATGTGTAAAAATTTGGGTTAAAAAACAAGATGTAATTTACGTTTTACAAAATAATGACGGATTCAAAGCTTTGGCTAAGCATGATTTTTATTTAGTTTCTGCAATTTTAAGAAGAGTTCTAGTTACAGATTATGATAAAGTAACATTAAAATCTGAATATATTTCTAAATGGAACGCTCACGGAATTGATTTATCTAAGGAATTTTAGTGCATACGAAATGTAACTTAAATTATTAAATAAAGTTATATTAATAATAAATATATTTTTTTTAAAAAAATATATTATATATTGTTCTTTTTAATTACGAATTCTATTTATAATGCTACGATCTATGGTGAGAATATAGCTCATAGTTATACATAAAATAAAAATTATTGTAGGTAAAATTAAAATATAGAATTTTGATATTTTCAATATTTCTATTGTAGTGGAAACATTTAGTAAAGTGCAAAACTTCCTCGAATAATACTCCACCATATGACTGCCTTAAAAGTTGCCATGTTACTTTTTGAATAATTATTTTTTTTGCATTATGTAAAATTATAATTAATCTGACCATAATGTACAAATCTATAATAAAATCCATGACATTCCAACCTAATGCTATTTTTTGATCAGTTAAAGCTGGATCACAAATGATAGCAAAATTATGAACTAATTTAGGTCTGACAATAATTATATGTATTATCTAAATGTAAATATGAGTGTAATGTTTAATTAGTTTAATTCTATAAATTAATTTATTTATAATAATTTATTACCTGAAATGCATTTCTTATCATATTTTTTATTACCTATTGTTGTTAGTCTTTGAATTAGAAACAAATCCAAAGAAAATCTATATAAAAAATTAATTACTGCATGGGAGTGTGCCATTATTTGATATGTTAATAATGACATTTTATTAGCCATTAATAAATATGTAATTGAGAATATTATTCGAGTTCCTCTTGTAAAATTAAATATAATATGCGTAAAATAAATAATTTTGTCTTCAATTGGATTTAATATTAAAAATACAAAATTATGGTAAAAAACCTATAAGAAAAATTTTAAAATTATTAATCATTTATTTAAATTGCATATTTTAATTATATTTTGCATTACATTGCATTGCAGTTGCTCCTTGTATACAAGAAATGTAATTATATTCAACAAAGGAAGGCACAGCCATTTTTAATAAATTATTTTTGAATTCGAAGTATTTGTATAAATAATATAATAATAAAAATAATTTTTGATGTTATACTTTATTGTATTATTGCATATTTTGTATCACCATTGCAGTAGCTTCTTGTATACAAAAAATGTACTTATATTCAACAAAGTGAGGCATAGCAATTTTTAATAAATTATTTTAAATTCATATTTGTATAAATAATATAATAATTAAATAATTTTGATATCATACTTTATTGTATTATATGAACTTTAATACAAATATATCATACCAAATGAAATTTTATAATTTGTAACATGTCTCAAATAATTATTGAAAGTTTAATATTTAATGTAAATAAAATAAGGATTGGCAGATATTATCAAGGAATATTCGGCTATGATGAATTTTTAGAAATAACCAATAATAATATGTACTCGATAATTTAGTTCAAAACATAATTAAACAGAGTCCTGAATTAAAATTAAATATTGAATATTTGAGATTAATTAGAAATTGAACAACTGGTAATAATTTAAATGAAACAAAGAATATAATTAAACAAATTATTTCGCAAAAAGAAGAATTATTAATTGAATTATTAGAAAAATATTTAGAAGATTTTGATAAAAAAAAATTACGAAGGAATATTGGAAATTATGAATATATTTATATGGTTATTAAGCTCAATCATATTGTAGTATTTTGGAAATATCTAGAAAGAAAGTTGGATAAATCAGATCAAAACGTTTGCAAATGTATATGTGAATTTCACTACATATATCAAAAAATTCTAAATAGTGATAATAGTAAATTATTTGTAGATGTTTTTTTTTAAATTTTTAAATGATATAATAGGGTATAAATACATTTACTAATTTGTAAATAATGCATTCTGTAAAATAAAAGTATATAAATTGGAAATTTTTTTTTATAATAAATCAAAAAAAAATAAATAAATAAAAATAGTTAATCAAACTATTTTCTAACTTACTTACTAAATTGCAAATGCAAAGTGTTTTGTTGGCCTGGCTTCCTACAAATTTAGCACCTTATCTTACAGAAATAATGGCTGTGAATATATTTATTATAACAATAATTGTGACAGCAATAATTACTTTTATTGTTTCTGTTTATAAAGCAATTTTATTCTATTTTAAAAAATCTTTATAGAATAATAACTTAATTGCAGTTCAAGTTGAGTATTATATAATAGGACCTCATAATAAACATAGTATTAATTTAGTTCATATCAATTAAGAAATTAGCATATTTTGCCGTAATAATGAATTTAAGGATAAATTTAAAATTCCTGATGATGTTAACAAAAACATTCAAAATAATAATGTTGTATCACTTTTAAAACAAGACAAGCTTTCATTATATATATCAATAGTGATCAATTCAAAGTATAATTTTAATGATGTATACAAATGCTTAAATGAAGTTATTAATAGTTACCTTAGTAACTTAAAAATTTCAAATCATTGATATAGATATGAAAATAATTTAACGTGATAAAATCAGGTATAATTATTAACTTCTTATCAAGAGCTTTAATAGTATTGCTTTAAATGAGAATCTTGAAATTTTATTAAAAAAATAAATAGTTTCATTTGTTAATGATAAAGAATTTTACGAAAAACTTGAATTACCATATTAAGTGAAATATTACTATATGAAAAACTAGTGTTAGACCTGAAATCATCTCAAACTAAGCCAACAAAATCAATAAACTTAATAATACAATTATCTCAAAGGCCTTTCTAAAAGAAATTAACGATTGACAAACAAAATAATTTATTATCACAATTTACTTGTGTAGTAGGTTATCACAATTAATCCTATAATGAAAACAAAAAGAAGGTTGAAAGTGTAAAATAGTAACTTTATTAACTTATAGCATTTATAAGTCTAGTCCCAAGAATTATCTCAATCTCTGAGCAAAACTCTGTTGACTCAATATCAACTTATAGGCCTATTTATATAAAATCGTTAACTAGTACTATATTACGCTTTTTGATACATAAAAATAATATATATAATGAAAACTAAAGAATATAATATAAGTAATAAAAAGTAGATTATATAATATTTATATTAAAAAGTAAATTATTCGATATATGTATCATAAAGTTAATCAAATGATACATATATTACATGTTTAACATATATCATTTTTATAATATTCAACGTAGTTGTAGATCATCTAATGTGCAGTATAATTTATGACTAACAACTCTCCCTTCTAATTTTTGAACTTTAAGAGAAATTCATCAGTTTCTTTCTCATTTCGAATAGAAAGTTGGTGAGCATAATTAACTAAAGCTTTAAATTCAAAAGCTTTGAGTTGTCATATAGTTGTAAAGTTGATAATTCGAGTTTGTTAGATTTGTTTTACTCTCAAAAACTCAAACAAATAATAAATTCTGGTAACTTCTAGTTGATAATAAATAGTCATCATATTTCTTAACATTATTCTTTTAGAAGGATTGATCAATTCAGTTTCTAAGAGTTGTTCTAGATAATAGACATTTACAAGAATAAATACACAATCTTTTATTCTACATGCTCTTAATAATGCTCAATAGATATTTTGAACCTTTTGTTATAAGGTCATATCATCATTAAAAGGTACTCTAAGAGAAATTTTAAAAGAAGAATTTTGTTTCAAATTTTTGCATAAGGTCGCAATTGTCAAGAAGTAAGAGTTTCAGACATTATAAAATTTTTATTTTTACAATTCCATGTATTGAAGGGATATATATATAAAAAAATATATGATAAGATAAAAGAAAGATAACTAATCTAATATTCATGATAAACTTTTAATAACTGTATATTTACTAGTGTATGTAAAACTCATTCTTCCATCTTATATAATTTATAAGATTCATTTATCAAGATTTCATGAATATAGTAAGGTCCTTTTTATTTTGGATTTAATTTTTCAGATCTTCTTGTTTTATTTGCTACATTGTAGTATAGGACTTTATCTCATATCTTAAATTGAGATCTTATTTTGATTTTCTTATCATGTTGATTTTTCTGTTTTTGCTAACTATTTGTGATCTGCATTTTAGCCTTGGACTTTATGATTGGTAAATCATCTATCAATTCCTTAATTCTGATATTAACATTACCACATGGTTGCTCATTTAAAGGATTATCAGTAAGTAACCTTGTTGATCTGCTATAATGCTCTGAACGGTTCAGTTCAGTTTGGATTATAGGCCAATCTGAAACTGAACCGAAAATTTCAGTTCGGTTCAGTTCAGATTATAAATCTTAAAAATGCCAATTCGAAACCAAACTGAACCATAAACTAGTAAAATCCAAACTGAACTGAAAATTTCAGATTAATCCAAAATTTCAGATCATTCCAATAGAACAATTTTCTTATCGTTCGTTTGGAATGATAATTTCATCGTTTAAATCAAACGATTCTTTTATCGTTTGTTTAGAATGATAATTTGATCATTCCAATCAAACGATTTTCTTATCATTTGTTTAGAATGATAATTTGATCATTCTAATTAAATGATTTTCTTATCGTTCGTTTAGAATGATAATTTGATCATTCCAATCAAACGATTCTTTTATCATTCGTTTGGAATGATAATTTGATCGTTCCAATCGAATGATTCTATTATCGTTCGTTTGAAATGATAATTTGATCGTTCCAATTGAACAATTCTTTTATCGTTCGTTTGGAATGATAATTTCATCATTCCAATCGAACAATTCTATTATTGTTCGTTTGGAATGATAATTTGATCATTCTAATCGAATGATTTTTTTATCATTCATTTGGAATGATAATTTGATCATTCTAATCAAACAATTTTCTTATTGTTCATTTGGAATGATAATTTGATCGTTCTAATTGAACGATTTTCTTATCGTTTGTTTGGAATGATAATTTGATTATTCTAATCGAACGATTTTCTTATCATTCGTTTGGAACGATAATTTGATTATTCCAATCAAACGATTTTCTTATCGTTCATTTAGAACGATAATTTCATCATTCCAATTGAACAATTTT